AGCGAACTCTTAGAAAGGCAGGGCATAAACCTGATATCAGTCTGAAGTATCTCTTCTTAAACACGGCCGAGTGACAGAAAGGAGGAAGAAGGAATAGGTAAGTGAGAGAGAAGACGGAGAAGGAGTAGGGGAAGAGGGTGGAGTTACGAAAACACACACAAGGTGTAACATAGGCAAACTGATCCCCTGAGCTTGACAAATCACCTGAGAAAAACAAGACAATGAAGATTTGAGCAGCGCGGTTGAACCAGGACAACACATTCAGCTGGGAGGATGTAAGAAAAGTGTCTGACTGTGAGAAGGAGAAAAACATGAGCCTGGAATACAAGGATTACTAATTTAATTTGGGGATATAAAACACATCTAAAGAAGTTGAGGTAAGGATTTTATTCATTACATGTGTTTTATCCTACACTGCTTTTTACATGTTTGTATTATGTCGTTAAGCTGTTAGGTATAGTAAAGGTTTATACATGAAGAGAGTAAAAGCTGTGTTTCTCTCTCTATGTACACTAGTTCTTTGATTATTGTAATACCAGTTTGTGTGTGCAAGCCGATGCTCCATTTACCCTTTTAATGTTTACCCTCAGGGCGTGTAGTGCAATGCTAACATTTATGGTTTTAAAAATGCAGATGAACAGGTTTACAGCTTGGATCTGACGCAAAAGGATGATCAGGTTGTTTAAGATGTGTGTTGGCAGTGTTTACTGTTCCTGTACACAAAGCAGCTCTGAATTCAGATATACAACACACATATTCCTCAGTATGAGATGATTAATTTTATTATTGTATACAGCTTTGTTGAAGCTCATATTTTAATACTTAATTTTTTGATTTGCCAATGATTGAGGTCTGTATGTAAGACCAAACAGAAAAAAAGTGTTGAAATAAGTTTCAAATGAAGATTATTTAAACAAAAGCAATTTAGTGAGGCGTCAGAGCCATTAATCTAAGTATCTGGAGGAAACAGTTTTAGCACACCTCAGAATGTGATAGGCCTACAAACTCTTAAATTACACATTTGCTCACACACCTTCACATACTGGACACCGACAAGAGTCATGTTACTCTTCCACAGATTCAGCCACAGAGACAAATGCTTTCTGTCACCTTATGTGTTGTTTTCTAAATGCAAAATACCTTTAAGCCATTGCAAGTATTTTTGCATACGGAAGCAATATAAAGCATGACCGAGTGACGTTTGTTTGATTCATCTTTTTGTTCTTGACAGGATGTCTTCATTATCACAGGCAGACTCCCTTTGCTCGCATGGAGATACAATCTGTGGTAAGTTTTCCCAGCTGAGGCAGACTGTGAGGAATGTTGACATTAACCTGGTCCGACCACTTTGACATTAATGTACAGCAGACTTTGATGTGTTTTTGTGTCTGTTCCCGTTTGCAGAGATCCGTGTTTACGAGCAGGAGGTGATCATTGTGCCCATCATGCTGCTGACCATCTTCCTGGTCACTGTGGTTTTTATTTTCCTGCTGCACTTTTGTCCAGAGAAAGTCGATCGCATCCGTCCGCAGGGCTCAAAGTCGACTTCCAGGAGAGTGCTGCATGGCATCGATGGTAAGACTCTGAAATAGACAGCAATATGTTTGTTAGTAATGGTATACATTAAATCACAGAGCACAATGTCACACATTTTAAATTGGATCTACACTGCCAGCAAACGGTCAGCTTATATGGTTCCAGGCATAGATTTTTTAAGGGAAGATGTAGGCCTAATTATAACCAGTTTTATTTTCTTTGTTTATCACCTATTTATACTGTCCCACATTAAACTATACTTTTCTTCAGCAGAAAATCTATAAAACTGAATTATCATTTTGTCAATTTCACAAATTATAAAGCTGCCAGAATTTTACAAAATGAAACGACACAACTCGTTTTTCCACATTGTCAGTGGTCAAATGTACTTCTAGCTGTGGTCACAAAAATAACACAATACAGCTTTTCTAACTCTTGGAATCAATGTTTCACTTAGTGTTTCTACAAATCATTCAACTTTTAATCTTTGCGCCTTAATTTGTATGCATTTAACAGCATCTTTGGTGTAATAAAAGGGACCCATGACATTTGGCATCACTGTATAACACAATTTAATAACACAACATCGTTTTTTCCAGTCCTTCACAAATAAAGTGTTATATTTACCTATTCTCATGTAAATGCTTGCTCTTGTCTCTAATGATACTTAATGTGTCTCTCTCTTAACTTTCTGTCCGTAGCTCCACCAGGTATCAATGTCATGGAGCATGAAAGTATCGCTCTGGAGGTGCCCAGTTCCTACTCCACCTTCAACCCCCCGAGCAATTACCTCTCCAAAAACCTCACCGTGGCTATGGACAAACCCTTTCTTCCACTCCCGCCCGACCCCCCACCTCAGCCCTTCAAGCCCAGTTTCACTCCCATTGCCCAGCCCAGAGAGTTGCCCCGCCAGAGGCTTCCAGAGTCCTTCAACCTGGTCACTCCTCTGACCGTGGCCTTCTCCTTGCGCTCCGACTCCTCCGTGTCCCTCTACAGGGCCCGGATGGAAGAAAGGAACGTGGTGCTGAGAGTCCTAAATGGTGAGATGATTAAAATGACATACAAATTAAGCTCTTAATTGTCTTATTTGATTTTGAGGACATGATTTATATATATATAGACATTTTATTCATTGGGATAAACCCCTTGAGATGCACCATCTCGTTTTCAAGGGGGTCCCGAATTATGTTACTGCAGTGTTTATTTACCCCTCATATCCCTCTCATTCTTGCCCTTCACAGACTCTGCTGATGCCACAGAGAGACACAACTTCCTGGGCTTTGCCTCCTTCCTCTCCCAGCTGGGACCCCACCCCTTCCTGCCGGAGCTTCTCGGTGTGGTCTCACTTCGAGCTCCACTGGTTACAGTTGTGGAGGAGATGGAGAACAGAGACCTGCTCAGCTACCTGTGGCGATGCAGACAGGTATACTACAAAAACGGATAAACCATATATTTGAGCAATGTAAATGCATCTATCATCCTTGAATGGCAATCTAACTTCTCTGTGTGTTTTTTTAGGAACATGCAGATCCTCCATGTGAGATGACTGAGAGACGAATATTTACCATGGCTACTCAGGTGGCCTCAGCTCTGGTCAGTATGCTAACATCCCGCAGACCTCATATTTGACTCTCAAATCTCTGCTTTACAATAAGCTGATACTCTTACAATATTGATTATTTATAGTTCAATTGTTGCATTTCCTTGACTTACTTGACTGGGGAGGGTTTTGGTTTTCCTGTTCCTCTTACCTGAGGGTTTACAGGTGACTGAACTGGAATAAACTGCACAGATGATGTGTTTTTAATCCTGAGATTTCCCTTGTGTGTTGCCCAAACAGGAGTTCCTTCACAGCAAAGATCTACTCCACGGACAAATTTGTGCCCACAGCGTTCTGGTCACCAAGGATATCACAGCCAAGCTTTGGGGCCTGCATGGCGTCTACACAAGGAAGACCCAGGGAGAAACTAAGAAAGAGGAAGCCAGCATGAAGAAATGGCACGCACCAGAGCTGTTAGCTCGGAGAACAGCCGGGCCGAGCAGCGACATGTGAGTTGTTCCGTTTTCATTTCTGGCATTGTCTCTTGTTCATATCTTCCAATACAAGACAGATGCTGCTGTTGCAACATAAAACACTAGATCATGTATTGACTTATGTCCTTTGAGGTTATGTTGGAGTGTAACTAATGTCTGTGTGTTCCTCTCCAGCTGGTCACTTGGCATCTTACTGTATGAGATGGCAACATTGGGTAAGTTGAATTTAGATTTAAATAATGTACCTACAAAAAATCTTCAATGTGATAAAGTAGCATCATTGGTTAGATTAGCCAAATACGCACATGCAGCTATTTTATCCAAAAACATATTTTTGTGATTTTTTTGAAAAGTTGTTATAAAACAACAACACATTGATGATGCAATGTGAAAATACATTTACCTTAATATCATCTCCCACTTTTATATTCACCTCTTTTCCTTTCAGGTGAAGCTCCATTTGCCGAAATCTCAGTTAATGAGCTTCTGCAGTTTCATCAACGAGGGAAAAGTCTGAAAAAACCTTCAGGATGTTCCAACGCACTGTAAGTATCCACCCCATGCATCAGATCACACAACCAAACCTGAAGTGGAGCTTCCCTCTTTAACTGATGTGCTGTTAATCTCTCTCTCTCAGACACTCCATCATTAAGGCATGTTGCCAGTGGAAGGAACAAGAGCGACCCACCCTGGCTGAGGTGAGCCGTAAGCTGGCCTCAGGAGAGAAAAGTGCCTCGGACAAAGTCCTCAAGGCGTCTGGGACAGTAAACATTGAGCAGTACCTGCAGGAGGCAGGATACGGGGAAACCAACAGCTACACTGTTTTCTGATCATAACTTGTGCCAGCAAATTAAATTGCACTATTCTCCCCGATGGTACCCCATGGTGCACTTCTACAGAATAATATCTTTCCGGTGGTCAAGAGGTCTTACCTTTGATTATGAAAGCTATTATTCTATATATTCTCGTACTACTGGTTTACACAGAGGAAACAAAAAAGGTTATGCTAAATAAGTTATTTTCTTTTGGGAACCATTCATTTTCTTTTAAGTAAGACCTCATCATGTGTGTCTTCATCTGTCGAGGGAATAAAGAGATGTAAACTTGATTGATGTACGGCCGCTTCAGCCTAAACTTCTACTGGTGTATGACAGTTTATAGATCTTGCTTGTAACTTAAAGCCAATGTATTTTAAGAGATGTAATATAATTTAACCTCTACGAGCAAGATATAAGCTCAAAAATAAAATGTGAATAAAATAAGTCCTACAATGCTTTTTAAGTCAAAAGGTATTAAACACAAACAGGTCCAGTAACAGGTACTACAGCACCGTCCTAATACTAGGATGGGTTAAATGCAGACACTAAATATCACTGTGTGGTGCTGTGTATGTGTGTGATCATTAAAAGGGAGTTCATACAAATCATCCATTTCCATCTCCAATATTTCCATTTTCAGGTATTGTTTATTGGCAGTACTGCATTTGTGTACACAGAGCGCTTCCACTCAGCCCTTGAAAGAGCAGACCACGAGGAATACCTATTTTCAGGTAGTTAGGTTGATTAAAGCTACTAAAACTATTTCGTATCCATGGAAAAATAATTTTGATTGTAGTACAAAATGTAAAAGATACAAAACTAAACTTTTAATAACTGGTAAAAAAATAACTAATTATACACCCAGGCTTTATGAGTGTCCTTTGCTCAGTGGGATCGGAGCCTGGATTGAACAATTACAGTAAATAAACAAATAACTACTAAAAGGACATATATATATATATATATATATCATATCGCTAAAGTTAAAGCACCGTTTGAAATACATCCAGAAGGCAACGTTTCTTTTCTTTTAGAAACCAGCAGATGTTGTCCTAGTTAGTTGACCTAGCACCAATTATCACATGGCAGTTTCATAAGAGTATACATACAAAAGACTACTCACGGTGACAGAACAAAACAAAGAACTGACAAACATGACTCACATAGATACCCAAAACTGTCCATGCTCACCACTCACACATAACATAATACATAAAACATGTTTTTGCACATTCAAGGTCCGTAAAGTAAACTATCCATCCCATGTCTCCACATGACTGATGGTGCACCGTTGTTTTGTTAAACAAATCCTCACTGTCCCCATGGATCTTAATCTTTTGAACTTTTACTAAAAGAGTTCCAGGTATTTATTCTAGGGACAAGTCATGAATGAGGAATCCTGGTGTCCCTCTGAAGAAGTCCCTGCATCACTCACGCAGGGTGTTGATGGATGCACAGATCTTGAGAGCGGGGCCGAGCTTAATATTCATGGTGGAGATGAGATGGTCCTCTCGCAGCAGCATCAGAGCCTGCCCGTCTATTTCCTGTGATAGAAAGTGTGCGGCCAACTCTTCACAGCCTGGACACAATCACACAGGAAGTATAGGATTAGTACAAAGAGGAGGCATGGCTAAGGCATACAAAACTGTTGTCTAAAAAGAACAAACACCAACCTTGAAGTGAAGAGATAAACCTGCAGACTTCCTCCACACTCCACTGCCCAGGAGTCGCAGAGAGGAAGTTAGCCTCCTCTAGTGGGAGGCTACCAGGAGCCGAGCTGTCAGACGGAGGAGCGCTGCGCTCGGCTCGAGAGCAGGAGTGTGAGGAGCTTGGGGACAGCGAAAGAGAATCGTCTTCCTCCTCTTCCCCGTCGCTGGACACGTCCTCCGAGCGACTGGACTCCGAGTGAAACTACAATGAAAAGAGTGGAGTAAGCTGCATTTGTGGATAATGCCACTGCATGATATATAAAGCATAAGGCCGCCATTGTTCAAGAAATTCCATATACTATCAATACTGTCTGATTTCCCTACTGACTTTGCCAATTCCCTATCGCTCTACAAAAAGGTATCAATCTTTTCAAAGGCAGAGGAGGAAATACTGCAACGAACTGAACTATTGACAGCAGGTTATCAGTACACATTTATCACATCTCAGCAGTGGTATGTGTGACTCAAAAATAAACGCCAGTGCGTGTCATTTAATTAAAAAAATGTTTGCTCATTAACAGGTTTTTAATAGTTCATGGACAACAGTGTAAATATAACCAAAACTGTTTTTAGATTCACTTGCAATACTTGGTAACTTAATGCATTGCTGGTTTTGTTATTTTCAAGCAATTCTTTAACAATGATGAAAATAAGAATATCAGCGGTCTCATCCTTTACAGATCTTACCTTAACAGGTAGATGCCTGCTTGATAATTGATCACAGTTGATATTAGAGCTACTCCTGCGCGGCGGGCCCCTTCTCCTCGAAGCGCTCTCAGATGGGGGGGGAGGTGGAGGCAGTCCTCCACCACTCCTCCCTCTGCTTGTCTTGAAGTGTTGGCTGCAGCTCACATTATACCTGTGGATCCAGGAGCACAGTCAAAACTCTGTACAAGATTTGTAGATTGATTTGTCGTTTTGTAGCTTTTACTTAAGCGGCTTCCCCTGGTATAGATGTTGGCTATGTTAAACTATCATTGATGTAAAGCGCAGTAGAGTTTTTGGAGGAATGAAGACATTACCAAACATCAAACCAACGTAACAACAAATGGTAAGTACAAATAAATCCTACCTCTTTGCACAAGTATTTGAACAGAACCTCTTTGATCCTTTGAACTGGCTGGCTGGGGCGAGGCTTCCACAGTACTCACACTTTAACACTGCAGAGAAGAGATACCACTCGGTTACACATTTTGAAAATACTGTTGATGCACTTCATGCTAACATGTATAGTTAATTATTTTTATTTATTTCATCACTTACATGGAGGTCCATTCTCTGAGCGACCAACCAGGGCAAAATCTCTGTCTTTGAGAAGTCCAGCAACCTGTCACATCAAACACAAGCCAGGAAGTAAGGAAACCATGTCAGAAAATAGTGTATAGTGAATGTATTTCAAATAGAAGATGCGATTTAAAGTGAAATCTATGTTTTCAGAGCAGTGCACACTCACTGGGAAGGGCTCAGCTCCCTCCTGGATGACAAAGCCCTCGATGAGGTGGGTGAGGACTTGAGGTTTGACCACAGCTTGGGGAACAGCTCTGTCTTTGTCCCCATGCCCGACTCTTGACAAGGGCAGAGGCAAGGACAGGGTGGGAGGACATGAGAAGGCAGCTGCTGCAGGAGGAGCTAGCGAGAATGGAATTAAACAGGGAAAATTATGAGCTTTCAACCCGATGTATAGACTTAGTTACACTTTTTAGGATTGCTCCTAATGCTATATGCTTGAATTGGAGATGAAAACCAGACATACCCGAGTCCTTTGTTGGGCCAGGGGATAACGGAGGAGCAGCATCTTTCATGGGTGCAGAGTTAAAAGATTCTGTCGCCATGTCATTTGATGCATCACAGTCAGATTTTCTCTTCAAAGAGCCAATCGCAGGCTTTATCTAATGACATGAGGGGGAGGGGAAATCAAACTGTTACAATGTATGGCACAAGGATAGTTAATACAATGATATGGACTGATTCAATGATTAACAATCCAATATGATAGATGCGAATTGAAAATGTATCAGTTTTGCTTTATAATGACATTTCGATGGCATGTCTTTCACAATTTCTGTTCTATTACTGGTAGAGCCCAACATTACTATTTTTATCAAATTTTAGTTGCTTTTTGCAGTTGAAATAAATGTTACTGTTTGTGTTAAATGAAACCAAACCAAAGAAGTGTCAGTGTCGCAAAAGTACGTCCTTTCATTGGTGGATCTTACCATAGTGCTGTTGTTGACATTCCCAGCAGCCGTACTCTCCTGGGCCATGCTGCATCGGGCCTGTGCCAGGGCCACAGCCTGGGCGTTTCCTGCTAAGCCCTGCCTGGCTCCCACGAGCTGCACGGGGATGTGTGGAGGGTTGTGACTGTTGTGAGGTGGTGCTGGGAGGATGTGAGGTGGGTGTCGAGGAGACATCTGCACAGGTAAGCGATGTCCCTGAACGGTCTTGGGCTGGATTGGCACTGGTCCTTTTTCTGCAGGAGTGCAGGCCTGCTGTAAGGGCTGCACCACCAGAGTTCTGCGTGTTAATGTTGGCTTTCTGGGTTACTGTGCCAATGGAGTAACCCTGGGTGGTGGTAGGAACATTTGAGGTGGGCACCAGCATCATGGGGGTGGCAGAAGAGGACAGGAGGAGTTGGGAGAGAGGGAGTGCTTGGGAGGAGGTGGAGGAAGGAGCCACAGAAGCAGCAGGAGTACCGGCCTTTAAATGCATAGCAGTGGTCTGCTGAGCAAAGTTGGTTTTGGCCATGTGTTGCTGATGTTGTGGTTGCACTTGCTGCAGCTGAACTGTCTGGGCAAAAGTCTGCTGCTGCTGACTGAAAGCTACATCTTTCCTCTCCGGAAGCTCACACTTGACAGCAACTCCTCTGTGAGTGGAGGCGCAGTGTAGGGCCAGATTCTGCACCTGTAAGATAAAGAAAGGAGACAATTGTGGCGAAATGCATTTGAGAAAAGTGGCAGGGTTGTGCTTGGTGGTGTTAAATAGCACTCCCATGACAATTCATGCCTCTGAAAATACACTTTACAGGTACAGTGGGTAATGGTGCTCAAACCTGGTCATTGTCCGACTGGGCAGGAGCAACTTCATGCTGCTGCTGCTGTTGTTGTTGTTGTTGTTGTTGTTGTTGCTGGGGCTGTGTCTGGGCAACTGTGGCTACAGTAGCTGTCGCAGTACCACCAGGCATGAAGATGAGCTGAGAGGCGAGAGGAGCCCTGAGAGAGCGGTTGACCTATTCAAAGAGCAAAAGAGATTGTTAACCTTGTCAAATATGCATTCATTTAATAGTGATTACTCAAAAATTGACACAGCGCAGACTATTTTTTAACTCACCCTCAGATACATCTGTCCTTGACCTGAGTTTCCACCCAGCAGCACTGACTGGTTGAGAGTTGTTGTCGTTGTTGTTGTTGCGGAAGTGGCCGGGCCGTGGGGACGGGGATTAGTCACGTTTCCTCCTGTAGATGTGGTACTTAGGTTGACCTGGTAGGACAAGAACAAAATTAGACATGTTTATTCAACCTAAGTTAATATTCCAAAAAAACTCAGTATGTATTTATAAATGCAAGCCACTTACAACGAAACTTACAGTGGTGTTTGCCTGCGACATGCTGTTACTTGGGGTGTTGGACTGACGACTCGCTGCAAGTGTCGCCTGGTTCAATGAGATACATAATTTTATTCTTCTGGTTATCATGCATTTGTACTGATTTCCTTTAAATGTAATAATTTGGGTTACCTGTTGCACGGCAGCCAAGTTGTGGAGTTGGGCACTGTTAATCTGCTGCTGCAGCATGAGCTGCTGGAAGTACTGAGCTGCATTTGGCTGTCTTTGCAGTGCTTGGAGAGCCTAAACAAACAAACATACACAAAGATATAAGATGTATACTAAACAAAAGTATTAATATATTGTTTTTAATTCAAGACAACAAACATGTTTATTTTCATCAAACATAGTAAGACGTTTTTCACACCTGCACAGCCTGCCTCTCATATAGAGACATGTGGGCTATCTGGGGCGCACGAGAGTTCCCGGTTGTCTGTGGATTTCCATTGGTGGTGCCCGTGTTTTGGTCTTCACCTGCATCCATTGTTGCTACTCAAAACACAGAAGCAACTCATTAAAAGTGAGCAAAAATATTTGTACTAAATAAGTGTCTGTATTAATATCAGAAATTGTCTGGTTGCAATATAACAAATATATAAGATTTTAGCATTAACCATAGTTAAACATGCAATTAGGCATTTTTATTTCGCTGGGGGGGGGCACATAAATAAATGCACATATTAAAACGTTTCAATTCAATAGCTTTAGTAGCATGACCATATAATTGCATACAGTATTGCTAAAGCTCTGTATAGTTGCAACATCCATACTACATAAATACATATTTGAAACAAACTGCTATATTCTGAACAGAAGCAAGAACAACTTGTATTTATTTATTTTTAACTAAAAAGTGAACTGCTTGTTGACTCAGTAAGTTTCAAATGTCTTCCAGTCAGTGTTGACATCAAACAGAAAAGTCCTCCAGAGAGCTGCTGCAGTAACGTTTCACCCTCATAATAACCAGCACTCGGATTGTTTTTATTCAGGATACTGAAGTTCTTCTTTCCGAGGAACCCTGTCTAACAGTTTTTTAACTGATAACGAGATTGCCAGACGTTACTACTATGCCATTGGTAGTCACACAAATGAGCATTGAGGTATTTTCATTAGAAAACCAGCTGTCAACATAAATGAGTGCGAGATAAAGAACAACATGGAGGAAAGCTCAAAACACCAAGAAAGGAGCTAGCCAGCTGTTGCTAACTACAATGGACTTTACAAGTTAGCCTATCCATCTCTTAGCAAAAGTCTGACATGCCGTAAATAAAACACACATACCCAGGTTAGAACAAAAACCGAGTGCAGAAATAATAAATGTAGGTGGAAAGCAGTTAGTTTGGTGCAAAGAAGTAAAGCTGCAGCGTTAGTTTACCATAAGCTAGATAGGCTAACTAACTAGCAAAACTAGCTTCTCAATGCAGCAGAAAGCTAGCACTAACTGGCTATCATCATTCCAAAAGTCAAAGATTAGTGTTTTCCAGCGTGCTTGTGTGTTTACCTCTCCTTGGTATTCCTGTTCTTTTCACACTTTTATGCCCATGAGTTTATTTTTTGCAATCTTGGTTTTAACTGCATTCAACGATCGCTAGTTTTTGCCTCCAACGAAACCCCGCCCCTCACAGTCCTTTTCTTCTTTGTGTGGTGGTGGATAAATCAAACGTCACCTAAAGCATACTGCCACCACATGTACCGGCGGCTGTAGAGCTCATAAACACACAATAACAAGCACAGTGATTGCATGGATTAATTACACAACTATAAGAGTTATAATCAGTGTTGTAAGAATTACTCAGATGCTTTACTTAAGTAGAAGTACAAAGGTATTAGCATAAAAAATGTACAAGTAAAAGTAGTCATTATGCACTATGTCCCATCTAAGAATAATATGAAGTACACCATTATGAGCTAAATGTACTTTAAGCATCAAATGTAAAAGTACTCTTTATGCAGAATGGATCTTTACAAAGTTTCTTATTATACTGATTATTATATTATCCTGCTTTTATACTTGTAAGAGCATTACACTTTTTGATGTGGACCACATTTTGATTTTTAAATTGCTGTGTAGATATATACTACATTAGCATATTTGCATATTTATAAAGTAAAAAGTAACTGTTTGTGTACTAAAAAGTTCAATATTTGCCTGAAATGTGGTGGAGTAAAAGTATAAAGTAACATTAAATGGAAATACTCAAGTAAAGTACAAATATGCCTAAAAAGTACCTAAGTACAATACTTGAGTAAATGTTCTTAGTTACTTTCCACTCCTGGTTATAATTATAGACTGTGAAGGTTCAAATACTTCCACAAGGATTTTCCCAAAAATAATACCCAAACAAAACAATTCTCTCAATATGGTGTTCACTAAAACATCTGTAATCAAACACGCTACTCAACTTTAGCCATTAAAAACTTAAACACGAGGTCCATTCAAATAAACTAATAAAAAAAGATCTGTGCATGAAATGTTTTTATTAAAACATTTGACATTCATTACATCTCCAGAGGTGAGTGCACTTGGGTGTGTACTTACTTCACCACTACAAGGGGCACACAAAAGCTACTTTCAATTTTGGTGAAATTAAGAAACAAACAGAAAGCTTGGTGGTTTGAAATCATGCTTGAACCAAAACAGCTTTATGTCAATCTTGAGGTTGGTAATTTCACTACATCCACAGGAGTGACCATTTCCACCAGACTTCACCAAACTAAGCAAAAGGCTAATAAACACAAAAAAGCAAATCATGAAAAATAAACAAAATCCAACAAACAAACTTAAGTCCTCTCACTCATTCACAATAATATAGTAAGTTAATTCACAACTGAAACTTTAACATCATTTCGACATAACTAACCTATCATTTTATCCTCAGAGCTGTAACATTTTTACAACCATAAATAAACTTGAATAAAGAAGGTGTATAGAAAATGCTTACATTGCAGATCTATCCTCCTAAAATATTGTTGTCGTTGTTAGTGTTTGTGCATTTGCCGTTAACCAAACATACATTTCCTAATTAAATATCTTGCGAGTATGAATATTGTTCCATTGCTGCAAATGTTATATTACTATAAAAATACAAGTAGAGACAAACCATACTTTTTTCAAATCATACATTATGAAAAGCAGAATTGATATCCTTCCAAATATCCATCACTGTGTAGTAGCATTAATAAGCCTACGATAGTGATTTAAGATACAATTCACTGATAAATTAGCAGGATGCATTGCTTCAAACACCAAACTTGTAAGTTTAACACATCAACTTAACTAAATTGTTGACCTTTCTGATAAAAATGGAAGATGTTAGTTAGCCTAGATGTCAGTCAGAAAGCTAGAAATACTGAACATGTTAGGTAGTAGGTACACATTAGCAATGATGTGGAATATTTTTGCCAAAATGTGTAAGAAAAGAAAATGCCAAACTAAAACTCAAATTCAGTCAAGCTATGGTTTCTGCAGTGATTTCTACCTCTTAAGCAAGGGTGTGAGCATAGTAACAGAACTAAACATTAAACATTTGCATTCTCATATTACTTTTAAAAACACAAAAACAAACTGATTAAAGCCAAATGACACAAGCAAAAGCACTTGTGTTTTGTAACCTGCACCTGTCAGTGCAGAACCATGACGCAGAAATAACAGCTTGCACAGCAACCTGCACCAACTTCGAACAACAATCATTAGCTAAGCGGGAAAAGATGAGCAATATGTCATTGAGTTCAAATCAGAAACCCGACTTCTTAACTTCTCCCTTTTGTGCCAAATTTCCATTGAAGAGTCAATCTTTATTGTCACTTTGTAATCTTGGATGAATCATTCATTTGTTTGACAGCAAACAGCTGAACGAAATGCATGGGGAAGTAAGAGCAGACATGTATCTCCGCCCAATGAGTAACATGCCCTCCTAAGTGACAAGCAGATCACACAGTAGTTGCCTTAGGCACAGGTTTGGAATACAAGCAAAGTGTTGACAGGTCCTAACCTAAACCAGCATAAGAGAAAACAAGACTTGTGTCTACCAACAACCTGAAACTTGAGGAAAAAGTACGCCGTGTCACATAGTGAACATGTCTGTCCCATTCCTGACATATGGAGGTCACATAGGCAGTAAGTAGTCGTCTCGCTCCTCTGGCTCCTCTTCTAAAGGCTCTGTTGCCACTCCTCTGTAAGCGGGGGCTTCCTCACGATTTCCTGACCGGCACACAAAGTCACAACCATCCTGTACGGGGGGGTAAAGTTTATGAATTAAAACAAAATAAGTCACATGAGCCTGATCTTTTAAAAAGGGAACATTTGCCACATTTTATCTGGATTTTAAAAATTCAAAATGTTCAAAACACACACACACACACACACACACACTTTGGATAAGTATTCACCTTATCCACTTTGTAAATTGTTGCCTTCTTTAGAGTTATTACTAGTATCTGTGATTATATGTGATTATAACCCTATGTTCATTATCGTGCTTTTGAAAAGATGCTCCAAACACTGATGAGAGATAATTGTTATGATTGTGATTGACTGTTTCAATCTGAAATGTTTTATTAATGCGATTATTTGCAACATTGTGTAGAATGCCTACACCCTTTCTGAAGAACCTTATTTATTAGGGTATACAAATTATTATTAGAATAGGTTGTTTAGGTTATCAAAATTGATAAAAAGAGAGAAACTGTTAGGGAAATCATTTGCTTAGGTATTCAACCTTTGACACAGTTCATTATTTTCTCCTCTCACTGTCTCCTTTCCCATGGCATAGTTCTATGGCCTTGGGTATTGCTGCTATCTCTCTTAAGGAGGAGCAGCTTGGGCGCATTGTTGTTGCCAGTCTATGACAGAGCACAAGCCGCCATGAGGTAGTTTACTGTACAGGGACGAAGGTTCCCTGGCGCACATTCTTTCCTATGGACGAGAGCTCTAGTTAGATTCAGGGTCCATAATGTTTAGTCTCACTGATGAAGAATGTTGATTATTACACTCCGAACTAGTTAAAACCTCGAGCTACAGAAAGAGTTCTTCAGAATTGGTTTGGCAACCGCTGTGTCAACTCGTGACACACCACCTGTCTTGTCAACTCTCCGGCCGAAACTCCAAATAAACCACCAGTGTTTGCCATCAAAGCTCCTGCTCTCCTCGTGTCTCTCTGAGTCCTGACTCTCCATTGCTACAGAAGTTTCCCTTACAGTGAGGGTAAATTAAGTCGATTGAAGCAACACGTTTCTCAACATGCTTAATTTATTGGGAAATCCACGTTTGCAACTGCAACTACGTCATTTGACATGAATGCTCATAGTTGGACGCAAGGAAGAACTGCATGCTATTTCAGTTTGGATTTCTTGTCTCTGTCTCCGTCCAGACAGGGAGCACGAATGCACTTAAGGCCACTTTGAAATATAACATCCATTTCCCCTTGCAATGCAGACTGGCTATGTTACTGACAGATGAATGTGCAAAGGATGTTATAGACAAGGATATATTTGAAAGTGTTTTGGATGACTAGGATATTCAGCCAAAAGTATACGTCCATGTCTGCATTAGCTGTTAGACAAGAATATAGTGTTGCTTCAATTGACTTCAAACTCCCCATAAAAAGGTGGCAAACGTTACCTTTAATGACGTTATGTATCAATCATAGTAGGCTTACCGCTGTCATATTGCCAACCTCCAGCCAAAAAGCATAATTTGGGAATTGCTCCATTCCTTTGGCTCCAACAATCAGTCGCTGGTAGAGAAATCCTCCGAGGAGATACACAGAAAGAAGACAGAAACCACTGGAAGAAGAGAGGGCCTATAATTAATATTCATTCATAATATTACATGCTTTGACATAAGGGTTTTGTGTCATTACAGAGTGTATTTACGCACATGATGAGTATTATGGAGCCAGTGCTGAGGTGGGACTCAAGAGGGGGGCACACTGCACTGGAGTCCAGCTCAAACAGGTAGAAACAGTCCTGCGCCCTCTGCCTGACTTCCAGCGCCACCTTCATCTGGTCCTGGGTGTGAGATGGTAAAATACACACAAAGGTAAATAGTCTATAAGTCTCACACAATAAAAAAAAGAAGCGAAATGGAGCTAACATTAGGCAATTTTAAGACCAATTGATAGCACTGTGTGAACAACGCAGCCACTCTTCATTTCAGTAAGACAAAGGGTACTGCAGCAGTTGTAAAACACTGTGCCATAGCATTATAAGTCTGTGTGGAGTATGTGTTTATGTCTTCATTGATCATGTATCCAATGGATACCTAATAAATAGCCACCCCGATCCCTGGCATTTGTGTTTTAAACATAGTGCAAAGCATTTCTCACATATCTGGTGATGTACACATTTGCATTTTTTTTACCGAACTTGTTCCCCTGTTACAAGAGATCATGATCATGGCTTTTCTCATTTCCTTGGAGCAGTGGCCATCATAGCTTTCACCATTTCTGTAGAACAAAATCACCCAGTCACCTGCAAGGGCAGCAAAGTGTCAAAACAGAGAATGCAGACCTAAATCACCCAAATCTTAAGCATTTTTGGTCATATGCTCATATTGTGTCAAACATAATGCAATTGTCCAACCTTCCAATTCACAAATGGTTAACATTTACACAGAGTCAGGGTATATAAGGGTG